CAGACTGCTTGTCGTCGAGTGAATAATGCGCATGTGCGGTTTTTCTTGGGGAAACATTCTAATTACGCATGCTTATGCAGGAGGTTCTCGGTCAGAAAGCGTAACGGTCGTACATACAAACAAGCAGAATAATAGTACAGATTCTGTTAATTTGTTTTAGGGCAAAGCTGCACAATTTAATAGCCGTGTTCGCCGCAAGGGTGCGATTGATTCAACTTCCTGAATTTAAATGCATAAAATGCACATCGATAAACTGTCATGAAGTTACAAGAAACTTCACATTTGTATTTTATAGCATCCAAACATTAAAAAGGATAACTGAAGTAATAACACGACAAAACATTATATTGTAACCATCTTTACGTATAGATTTAAGAGTTCAGTATTAAGTTTACAGACTTACAACTCTCAAATCCAAGGTCTCATTCTTAGTGAAAGACAAAGCGTAGATAGCTTAATGATAACGCATCACATATCCACCTTTAACGGAAAGACATAGTGATCCATATTTAGGATTGGTTGATGTAGATTAATATATAAAGAATCCTCAAACGATTTACGTCCCATTATCTTAGTGTTGGTTGTCCCTACTAAAGTTCCATATGCCAGAGTATATTGTTGCACATAAATCATTGTTTCCTTTGCTGTAGTTGCGTGTTTGAAACGTTCTAACTTTTGAACCTGTATAACCTCGTTCTCATCGAGTACAACTAAACATACAAATAATATCTGGTCGTATTAGAGCAGGAATCTTGTCTTTAACTATATAAAAGGACAACTAGACGGGTGAAAAGTAGTCTGAATGTGGCCTATATATTTGAATAATTAAATACCGCAAATTCAAACACTCCGCTTGCTGTCCAATTCTTAAGTTAAACAAAAATATAAACTTACGTTAGCAACTAAAATATGAACTCTATTGTATAAGAATTTGAAGCATTTTTAAGGACACACTTATTAGCTTATTTGCAGATAATGCTTGCTTATTAAAATATGAAAATGTTATTGCAAATGTTCTGAAGACAAATACAAAAAAGAAAAACTGAAACCGTTTTAAGTTGAAAGAATGTAACTAAGATTCCGAAAACAACAGCAGTTCGTCGAATTTGGAGTTTCTGAAAAATGAGCTTTGTTTTGAATTTCGCGCAAAGCTACACGAGGGCTATCTGCGCTAGTCGTCCCTAATTTAGCAGTGTAAGACTAGA